CCCGTGCGAATGCACCACACGAAATTCAGATGTGGGGGGGTAATTTCAAAATCACACAAAGTCTCCAGATAATACTAATCCCGTGCGAATAGGGCTTTTGTAGGTGTTTTCAAACTACTAGGTGTTTCTAAATCATGCAATGAAAATGATCCCCCTTACCTGACCCCACCCCTAAACCTACCCGTCACTATGACGTCGGCCAATCAGGTAACATGGTCGAAACGCCCCTCAAATCAAAATTTACTATATTCATTTTGTTAGCATACACTGCTAGTCTTGAGGTTAACAATTAACCTGTGCAAGTTAATCCACTGAAAAAATAAATTGTTTGTCTTGGTAATCTTTAATCAAAATCTAATCATTTACTTCCATTCTGGAATAGCATTCCTTCTCTGATGACGTCAGCTTGAGCCTTGGACCATGGCTTGGGCAGAATATGCTTAACCACGCCTTCAAACTGACGTAATTGGAGAAGGAATGCTATAGCAGAGCCATTGAAAATCAGAGTTGGGACATGTTTTGATCTTGCCGCCACACGGTTAAGTGGTTCATAGATCTCTTAATAGTTCCAAACATCTCGGACTATGCTTTACAGCATTTTATTCTGATAAAGAGACAACGTTACATGTTCTTACACTCCTTTGCAGTCAAATGTGCCCGAACACAAGTGTAACTTTTTATACATTAAATAAATGAACTATATTTTAGTTCAGTAATACTTAGTTAACATTTTGAGGAGATTATTTGTACTGAATAATACGTGCAATAATCATGATCCATGAATGACCATTTAAAATATTATATTTTCTAATATATTTGTTAATTTTATTACAATTAGTATAGTATTTAAGGTTAAAAAAGAGAAACCATTTTTAAATTCTAATGCAAAGAAGCAAATTAGAGGCATTTGGTAACCAGAAAAATAATATTCATATGTATAATGCCGTGGCGTAACCACTAGATGCCTGTATGGCTATTTAATCAATTATACATATATAGTACAGCTCTAGTCCAATTGCTCAAAAGAGTATTGCTGGTCATAATTAATTACCCATTTTTTTTTAGGTTCTGGATTTTAATATACATTTAGACATTATCAAGCACTCAATTTTGATAAGTTTATTTTTTTTTTATTTTTTATTACATTTACAAAGGTTAGTTACTCACAACCTAACATTATTTTATGATATTCAAAGACAAGTGATTGTTAATGAATGCAAGCAAATATAGAATTAAAAAAAGACGTTTAAAGCGGTCATATGATGCGATTTCAATTTGTCCTTTCTCTTTGGAGTGTTACAAGCTCTTGGTGCATAAAGAAGATCTGTAAAGTTGTAAAGACTAAAGTCTCAAATCCAAAGAGATATTCTTTATAAAAGTTAAGAGTCAGCCACACCTACCTAAAACGGCTCGTTCTAACACGCCCCCACATATCTACGTCGCTATTACATTTTATTACACCAAATACACAAAATACTGTACTTTTTTAGCAGCATCATATGACCCCTTTAAAATAGTGTAAAAAAAAAAAACAAGGCAACTAACTGCATTCAGTGAAACTCTTTATTATTTAAAATATCCAGTGAGACATTAGGAAAGGTATTCTTTGAATGTGCGGTCTTAACAGAAACTAATTCGACCTCCTACAGGGAGAGACGATTGCAGAAACACTAAAAACTGTTACAATTATAGTCTAACTACTTATTATCTAACAACAAACGTTAACTATAACATGCTACATAAAATACCACTACTGGCTAGAATCCCGAGAGGTCAACAAATGCATTAAAATGTCAAAAATGCAGTAATTTCTTCAATCTACCAGCGAGTGTCCTTGAGAAGCATTGAAATGAATGGGGTTCAATGCTGGAACTATTGGTTGTTTGGAACTAGATAAGAGATAATTAGATTATTATTTATTGTCATTGTACATACATCCAACAAAATTATAGATTTGCCAACGTATCCAGCTACAGATTATTTAAACAATTGATAAGGAATAATTAAATAAAATAATTAGTTAAGGTTTCTGTGCCTTAACTAATGCCATGATGTTTATCGTCCATGTGAGTTCCTCTGAGATATGTGTGCCCAGAAATTTAAAAATGAACTCTCTCTCCACCATCTCCTCATTGATATACAA